TCCCCAAATACAAAACTTTGACGACCTCGGGATTGTTTTTGTTAGTGTTCTCAGAATTTGGAACTAATTACCAATTTTAATAAAATATATCAAAACGATTGGATGCTTCAAAATGGCAGCTTATTTGCATAGTACCCATCCCTATTCTCCTTACCTATGTCAACATATTGTTTAAACCCCTCCTTTAAAATGAAATATTATTCTTAGCTATTCCTAAGATTAAAATAATTAAATTGTAATTCAGTATATGTTAATATGTGCACAATAAAAAGACTCTTTGTCTTACTGTATGGATAAAAAAACTGAAATTGAAATTCAAATTAATTATAAGGGTGCCCAAAACGACGATTCATCGTCACGACATCGTAGTAAGAATTCATCCCTGCCGCCCTTTAAGTTCACGGTTCGAACCGCACTACAGTTTCATTCATTTCTACTTTAATTTTAATGCTGACTAAATGAACTAGTACGCAATTAGTATAAAGCTGATGCATGGTTGTTCATTGGACATCGCCGTCTTAAAACTACTAGTCGGTTAAATGGTTAGCGTAAAAAATCAAACTAGTTCAGATATAGTTAGCAACTAGTATTTTTCTCCGCAAATTAAAACCAAATTTTTTTTTTTTTTTTTGACACAAAATTATTAATTATAGTCATTCAAATATTAATTGGATTGTCAAACTGAAATAGTCTATTTTTTGTGTTATAACTATGTATGTATTCATTTGTCACAGACTGTACATGAACATTTACACCCATGCCGTTTGACGTAGTAACTTAGCCATGTATAACTTAATACTTGCCGAATTGACGATGAGGAAAATGAGGAAAATGAGGAAGAATAACACGCAACTTCATGACAAATTGACAATCATCGCTTTGTAACGCGTTGAAATAACAATTTCCTTTGATTTATTTACATATGAAAAGGCAAATACGAATATTTTAACAATAAACGAATAAAATTTAAGCAAAACGAGCAGTTAAAACGAGAGCAAACACACAACAAATGAGCCTAATTTGGAGCTACGCGAAAGCGAAGAATTGTTGAGCCGCATATCAACCATACACATACATACATACATATGTGTTCGATGTAAGAAAATCATGGTAACGGGTATGCAAATCATTCGTAGGCATGTTAGAAGATAAAAAAATGTCACAAAAGCTAACGAATGGGTGACACAAAATTATGTTGTTAATCAAAGCTAATAAGCATATTTTAGCATAATTTTTGTATGCCTTACACATACATACGTATACATGTATTTTATAAACATATAATTTTTAATGTGTCTACGCATTGAATATATGTATGTGTATATAATCCTATGCTCATACTTTGTGTGTACGTTTCAGAGACAAAAAATATAAACGTATTATTAAGGCAAAATTAAGAATAATTTATAAATACGTAACCATATACGTACATATGTACATATGTGTCCCCGTCGTATTAGAAAAGATGGACAAAAAAACTTCTTGAAGTTTTGAACCCAAAAAGCTATTAGAAAATCCGGAATATCTTAATCTTAAAATATTTATTTTTATAGAATTATATATTCTGCAAATAAAAAAACAAAAATTCGGAACACAAAATTCTGGGTTCAAAGATATGTTTAGTCAAAATTCTGCTCTAGACAGTTCTTCTTTTCAAAATGACTAAATATGAATTCGGTTTTGAAACATAATGAAATTAAAATCATAGCAGACACAGAACATAACACTGCTTTGTGGAACTCTCTATTTATGGAAAAACACAAAATCGGCTGAAAATGAGTCAAGTAGTTGGAAAATAGTATTATTAGTACAATTTTCTTGAAATTGAGTACATGGGTCGCTTAGATTAACATGAATAACACATTTTATATATGCAAGTAATGGAGCTTAAATTGATCTATTCTTAATGATCCAATTTATGATTTAATTTGCTTGATACTATTGTCATTATGAAAAGTGGATCTTGAACCGAAAAATTGTAATTAGACAATATTATATAATTATAATTCGCTTTGTTTGACAAAAAAAAAAAATAAGAAAATATCTAGTACTTTCCTTTGCCGGAAGTAAGCCACCGCTCATACTTGAGAGTAACTTTCTATTGAAGAAGTAGCTGCGAACGATTTGATAGGGGCGCTTTATTCTTTGTCATTTTCTGTTGAATTTTTCGAGTATTATTACACTTACATATTTAGGTTGGTCATATATCGCTTCATATCTGGGGTAGAAAGATTCAAGCATTCAAATCAACTCAAAATAACTTATCAATTCGATCATTAATTCACAAAATAAGTAGGCATGTAAAAAGAAAGCCAACCCTCTCGATTTGCGGGTATTCATTGTCAAATAATTGCTCCATAATGATGATAATTAGATTAGATTTTATTGTGTTTACGCTGTACGACGTATGCCTATTTTAATTATTAAATATAGAAATTAATATGGAGTGAATATTTTTTTATTCGAACAAAAAGTTCATTTTCTCTACAAGTTTATGAAACTTTTCTATTGAGTGGTGTTTCTGTTTAATTCCACACTGATGATAGGAATCAACCTTTGAAGATTTGCTTTTCCCGTCTTCGATTGAGCAGTAGAGAAGAAAATTAAATGAAACTATTAGCATATGCTTGCACTGAACTATCATTACCTAAACTTTGAAAAAATACATTACTGTGTGCAATGACAATCAATAAATTGCAAGGGCAATCATTGGAAATCTGTTACTACTATTTCAATCAAAGAGTCCTTTAGAATGTCATAATGTTTTTATTTCTAGCTATATACATAGCGATTCATGTTAAGGTGTAGAACTCTGGGTAGATCAAAATTCTGCATACTACAAAATCAGAAAGGAGGAACTCGGCCAGAAATCGCCTCAGCGGTTACAAAGCACTAATTTATATATTAATTAATTTTTGTTAAGCTAAAACTCTCTTTCTAGCACAAAGCAAATAAAAATAGGAGACTTCTGTGGAACGAATTTTTTAGATGAACTATTTGCAGAGATGCTCAACAAACGCAACGACATGAAATCTTCTCGTGTCGGTTATAATTTATCGTTATCGTTACACATCGTTAACGTTAATTTTAAATTGCTGGCTTCTATACCTTTATCAGCACCATTCAATGTGAATGTTTAACATTATCTGTTAAAGATTTAACATTAACAGGCCTATTCTGTCGAGGTAACAAAATTTACCTAGGTATTAAAATTTACCATTTTTTAGGTATAAAAATTTACCATACGGTAAATTTTGTTACCATTTCATATTCTGAGCTCACTGTTACCCTGTAAATTTTGTTACCAGCGAAATAGGAGCTACCAAAAATATCTGCTGTTTGATTTTGTGTTCTTAGTTTCAGAAAAAATAAAAACCAAAATGGATAGGCATATTGCAGGCCTGGAATTCATTGAAGATGAAGAAAAAAGTGCAAAAAGCCGTGTTTTAAGAAGTTTTCGAGACTAAAAAATAGCCCATTAATTTATAAGATAACGCTTTCATTCAGCTTCTTTTGTTGTCCAGGCATATTTTCCATAATTAGTTTCAAATATTAATGATTTAATAAACAAATTAATAAAACTTTTTAATTTTTTTGTGCACCGTCTTCCATTTCGATCTGAATATTTTTCTTTTTACTTTATCAACTGGCAAATGTAATTTGACATGGACGAAAAAAGCAGTGCTGGCCAATTTTTTTCAAACATTGTAACCAGTTCGCCAGAATCCAAATTCGATTTTGGGTGTTAAACTAATGTAAGAAAACTTACTTTACCGGTAACAAAATTTACTTTACCGGTAATAATTTAACATTTATAACTTTTAATTTTCAATTTTTCAGTTTTTATGTTACTGAATTTTTAATTTCAAATTTTGTCATTTTCTGAATTATTATAATTTTCACTTTCAATTAAACAAGAAATTTTTAATAAATTTTATTAAAATAACTAAAATATAAAGTTTGTATAAAAATAAATATATATTAATTATATAAATACATATATATATGTAGATATATTCATCTACATAATCCTATCCTCTTAAATATATTTCAGCGGTTTCTATTACAATTTGATTTGTTCAAAACAATGTTCCTCGCTTTGGTATTTCCCTCAATATAACGGTAGATCAAGGAACAATTTTACTTCAAAATTATTTAGTGAATTAATAATTTTTTATTTTTTTTGTCATACATACTTCTCCCACTGTCACTGTCGAAGAGAATGATTAAGGAAGATCTAAAATATTCTTCAGCTGAATTAGTTTATGGTCAAACACTGAAGCTTCCCGGATAACTAAATCTTTCCAATAATAATTTCAATAACGAAATCAAAAAACAAAGGAAATTCTTTCTAAATTAAGAAAACATTTCACACTAATCGAGAGTTATACGTCATAATAAAGAAAACAGTTTAATTTATAAAAATTTAAGAGCTTGTGAGTATGTATTTGTTAAAGTTATGCATAAGTCTAATCTTCAACACCCTAATGAAGGATCATTTAATCTCCAAATATAACAAAACCTTTGAAATACAATATGGAAATAACATTAAAAAGCTATCAATAGATTTACTTAAACCTGCAAATATCAACCACTTCTTCACGATACACAAATACACAGACAAAAACCAAACTAAAAAAAGTTTCATTTAACCTTAATTAATATTATTATATATGCGTTTCAATAGGTATTTATAAATACAACTGTTGCAACATTGAACATAATAGAACTTGCCACAGCAATGCCTAATGACACTGATTATCATCTTTACCTAAAAAAATTTCTCGGTCAGACAATCAAATCAGAATTACTTGCCAGCTATTTTGACAAACAAATGCTGATAAGCTACGACTAGACAATAAATAAATATAAAAAAGATACTAATAAAAAAACGAAAGTGCCTAACAAAAAAAATGGAAGAGAAAATTACATGTACTTTATGTACAAATTAAGCTAGTCATTATTTATTAATAAGAACTTTTTTCATATTGTACACTCACCTTTACTCGCCGGCGGTTTTCGTGTGGCCCAATTCGTTCGAATCGAACGCGAACCCAACCACTGTCCATTCATAGCTGTAATGGCGCTTTCGGCTTCCTGTGGTAGAAGGATGAATGGATTCAAAATTAATAATACATACATATATATGTATCTATATGAAAGTGATTGGCGGAACAGATTTGAATGAAAAGCAATTTGTGGGAGTGGATGCGTGCTTTTTAATTAAGATGAAAGAGTTGTTAAAAGTTTTCGGGTTAAATTAAAATCTAATGAATTGGAGGAGTCAACAATAATTTGGGGTAAACAAAACGTAAAAGTACTCACCGATTTTTTGACAAATGACACAAAACCATAACCCTTAGATTTCAATGTTTGTGGATCACGTACAACACGGCAATCACTGCAAAGAGAGAGAGAGAGAGAGAGAGTGAGAGTGCAGTTATATTTAAGGTAATCATTGAGCAGTAAACGGTTGCTTAATATAAGTAAATATCTAAGTGGTTATATGTAAATATTTTGGAGGTAGATCTGATGTTGCTCCAAAAAAGGGTGAGGGTTTTTAATTAATATAAAGCAGACTTTGAAAAGCGGAAAGTTTCATCTGAAACTAATTTATAATTAATCTACGTTTGCAAATATATATTTGTATACAAATTTAACATATATCAATACATATATAATACTAAAATGAATCGTCATGACGCTAATCTCACTGGCAATGGCGCGAGAAAACTTTTTAATATAGTAAAATATTAAAACATCAAAACCACCAAGCAGGCAGCAAGTCAGCCATTAAGTGTAGACTACACCACTTTATTTTGCAAAACATATACACATATACGATGGATATTTATATTACAACGAACTTTCAACTTTCATGTTTTACTTGAAAAAAAGGACAAAAATATATATATATTTGTATTGAAGGCAGCACACTGACACGGTAGCTGAGAAAGTATGAAACTGTGTCTCTGAAGGCCCTGTGCTATCAGTTGCTCACCATCACCTCCGCTCATCGCTACTGTAGCTTCAACATTTATGCAAATTTTAATAAAAGTTAATTTATATAATATTTTTTGTTGTAAAAGTTATTGTTTGTATATGTACATATATAAATATACGTATATACATACATCCACAAAAGCGTACATAGAAAAGCAACAATGTGAAACGGTCGTTAATGTGGCCCTGGAGTGATTGCTACAGTACAGCTGCTCCCCATGCGTCGTCAAAGGTGTGAGTTGAGTGCTTTTTGCGCTTACACTTTATGGCCTTCACATACACACATGGGAGCAAACAAGTCACGCAAATACGCGAAATATGCACATTCGTTTAGTCAAACAACAAAGCTTCAAAGTATATTTCCAATGACGAGTGGTTTCGGGTTTAGCAAGAGGCGGCCCCGGTAGTCGAGTTGTTAGCACTGCGTACTGCCATTCAGAAAGACCTGGTTCAATTCCTGGTGTCGTACTAATATCCATAAGTCTATTTCTGACATCAAATTAAGCTTATCATAAAAAACCATAATGTATAAACTGTAAGTCTCACCCTTTGTTTGAAAAATATCAAGAGGAATACCGAGCTAGGCCGAAAATCGCTTGCGCGGTTGCAAAGCGCCAAGTTTGTTCATATAAATGAATAAATAGAAACTCGTTAAATAAAGTTGTCAAAGTATATTAAATAATGTATGAAAGTAGCAGTGGTAAATCCAGAGACGAAAATTGGCACTGGAGAAAATGTAAAATAAATATATATGTGTTTTTCTTTTATATTTTTGAATTTGTTTAATTTTATTTAATCCATTCTCTGTTTTTAATAACACTTTTTATATTGTTTTACACACTTCTTTTCTATTATTACTTTATCACCTTTTAACCGTAATTTTAATTTTTTTGTGTTGGATGTTTTGTTTTAAATCTCGCATTTTAATTTAAGCTAAGAAAATAATCATCGTCGAGGCTGGTTTTTACGCTTACGACTTAAGTAATGATATATGTATATGTGTATATGTAAATGAAATACTATACAAATGGATATGCGTGTGTGAATTTTAAAAATGTCCTCATATTAAACATGTGACTCTGCCGTTTAGGTATTTAGCTACCAATCATATCATCATGAGTGCGGATTTTACCGCACGAATTTAGTTTGATAAGTATCATTAATCCTTGTTAACCAAGTGTGAAAATCCATGATAACTGTTAACAATTAGCGAGTTAAATTTAGTCTCGTTGCGGGAATTCTTTTTTTCAATCAATTCAACAACCACAATTACAAACTTTTCCATCAATGTTCATACTAAATATGTCTTACTACTGATAAAAATATTTCGAAATAGAAAGTTACAATCTGCTAAATACTGGTACTTCTCCTCAGGAGTGCTAAAAGTTTTCGTCATTTCGAAGTCCTTAGACTTATAACACATTTTAACTTTCGAGTAACAGTTCACTCTTATTTTTCGATGGATATTAATAAATACTTTTGAAATGGACTCAGTTATGGGCTCGTTAAAATGTTATTATTCTATACTTATACTTAAAAAAAAAATAAATATATCTACGTAATTGGAGCTTTATAACCGCTGAAGCGATTTTCGGCCGAGCTCCTCCTATTCCAATTTGTGGTTTTGCGTCTTGATGTTTTTCCAACAATTGGAGGGAACTACAATTTATATAAAGCCGCCTCAGAAAGGCTGATAGTTTTTTTTACGACGAGCCTTTATTTCATGTCATAAATACACTCGGAGGTGTGGAAATTTCCTACCGAGGGTCGAACGTAAGTAGGAAATTTTACTTAATTTTTTTAATTAAATTCATTTTCTATAACTTTTTGATGTCGGTCGAACCGGAATTCGTACCTGGGTCTTCCGAATGGTCGTAGGCAGTGCTCAAGAAAAAAATATTTACATTTAATATAGTAATAGTCTGAATCAGCTCAAAAAATTTAAAAAAAGTTTAACTATAAACGACTGACAGAAATGAAAGTCTTAGCCGTGAGCACTTAAATGAAACAATTTTATTCAGTGGAGTTAAAACGTAATTTCGGCACCATCTAAAAACAGAAATTAAACAAAATTTCTACAAAAAAAAACAGTGTTTTTCTATCCCAAAAGGACCAAATAAATTACCAGATACGAAGTCAAATTCATTCCTACATTTACGTCCGTTTATGAAGGTGCTATGCATCCACATTTTTATTCATTATATAGATTTACAAAAGAACAATCAAAAATTATATTAACTAAGCGGAAGAAATCTCTAAAAATAATATCAGCTCACTTTAAATATAAAAACAGATTTTATACTGAGGTGTGAGTTATTTCAAAAATCGTCTTTAAATCTAAGAAGACACTGTTTAATTGAACATATCTCAGTGGTAATAAATAGAGATTCCGATTTAAGATAAATGACCATTTAAAAATTTTTCCATGTAAACATTTTATTCTTAGATAGTTTGTTAAGACATGTTATCGGGATTTGGTAGTGTCCAAAATTGTTTGATTTGGATTAGGATTATGTTTTTAAAGATTTTTTATTTCGAGTATAATCCAGTTCAAAATAGGTAAATATACATACTAGCAGAGAAAAGGTAGAAAAAATAAACAAAAGTTAAATAGAACTACATATTCAGCCCAACTCGTTGGCTAACATCTTGTACTTCACAACTAGTCGAAGGATATTTTTACCAGTCTTCGAAATAACGGCGCTGATGGGCAAATTTAATATATTTAAAAAGAATTTCAAAATTTCATTAATTATTGTGTATAAAATACATAAAAAAGTGTCGACGAGGCTGGACTACACCACAGCCAGTATGAGCTTCGATAATTTTTTCTCCACGAGTGTACTGTTTTGAGAATCATAGCTGAGCATAGAGGTGGCTTAAAGCTCGATGGAAAAGTGGGCTGCGGTATCTACACTCCAATACTTTCAATAAATATGAGCCTCAGACTACCAAATAACTGCAGCGTCTTACAAGCAGAGCTCATTGCGATTATGGAGGCCGTCGAGTAGTTGCTCAAATCTACGTCAGCAGGACTGTTTACGACATTATATTCCGAGAGTCAAGCTGCCATGAGATCTCAGCAATTTAACAGCACTACTTAAAAGGTTGTTATAAAATCCGGAAGCAGTCTGGACAACCTCTCGCCTGCATACAACACCGTCCTAGTATGGCTGCCTGGACACAGTGAAATTCCAAGTAGCCTCATAGCAGACGAACCAGCGACAAAGTAAGTGATTGAATTGGCTTTTATCGAAGAAGCATACTCAAAATCGCCGAATAAAAGGGGGAGTCTATTGAACACTACCTCTGCTACAGACCTCTCTTAACATCTCGAAACTCGACTAAACGAATTCATGAACTTTTGAAGAACTTAGTTACAGTTAATGATATTTATTTGCATTTCCGCTTTTAGTAATTTTCGTTTTAATATAACATTACTAGAGTTTACTAGCGACTATGACTGCATGGAATTTTGAATGATTCTAATAAGATTTACAAACGCATCGATCCCAGATCCACTTCCCATAAGAATAAATGTTCCCCATGTCAATTTAGTGGTAGAGTTACTTTTGTACCAAATTTCATGTATATCAAACTATTTAAAAATAAATTTAATTTATTTGAATAGATCAGTGCTAGCTCCATTTCCTCTAAAATTCCTTTCTTATCGGTTGCATATGTCATACGCAGAATACATCCTCTAAGTTTTGTTATTTTCCGACCAAAGGTTTAGGCTGTCCGTTGAACCATCAGTCATTGAGGACAAAGCCATTTTTGTAACTAGATTACAAAATCAAATAACTAATTTGTGTTCTCTCTTAACCAAGAAGAAAAAACAACCATACTACAAGTAATCGTAAAACAGCTTCAACAAAACTTCCTGTTTTGTAAAAATTAGGTTCAAGTGTTTCAATAAATTTGGTATGCTCTGAAAAATTTGACTTTTTAAAGAATGTAGCGCCTTGACCATTAACAAAGTTGCGATCTTAGCATATCTTAATGACAGCAGCCAAATTCAGATTTGAGAGAACCAAACGCTTCAGGTTTATATGATACATCCTTGAAAAAATCCAGACTTGCTATTAACAAGGATTTCTTTTTATTGCCGCTTATTTACTTTACTTGCGAATTCGGTTTATTCCCCATTTAGCTTACAAATTTTTTGTTTTCTTTATGGCCATCCTTTACTACACCAATACATGGCTTTGCTCAAAACTCTCTATATTAATGTGTATTTCACCACAGCACTCATGCCAACCTTTTTTTATTAAACCGTTTCAACTATCCTTCAGCCTTTCGGCAAACACTTCTCACGGTGTCACTTTCGCGTCTTCCTGCTAGGCCATCAAGTCAGCTACTACTATAAGCTGTATAAACACGTATTTTACCGTTAAGCATCGAAGTAGTGGAGTAGAGCAGTAGTCGTAGAGGCTTTTTGGGCGCTCAGTTATGCAGTTGACGTTACTTTACTGTTCTTCATGTGCAATTTTATGTGTGTTTGCGAACATGTGTGGTGTCGGCAAACACTAACAACTGTTATTCCAGGCAAAGTAAGAAGGTGTCACTTAAGTTAACTACTTTGTTTGCTTTACACTTGCCGTTGTTGTTGTTGCTGGAAGAAGTTCGTTCGCTATCTGTCTGCTGTTGACAAGTAAATCCGCGTTAAATATTCGACAAATAAGCACAAGTCAAGCGATTGTCAGGTTGTGGTAGTGGGCTTAGTCGGATTCTCGGAATGAATATTTATGTATTTATTAAAATATTTTCGCAAATAAAGTCGAGGATCTAAATAGCGAATGCTAAACTTTATATTTAAGTTATTTAGATTATAAATAATTATGAGTTATGTTCACTTGTGGGTGTAAATAATAATAATAATTACGATTTTTATTAGGAAACAAAACACTGAGAAGAAGACTGTACACGAACTTCGAAAAATACCTTAAAAAATATTAAATAAAAATAATTTTTTCCATGAAATGACGTCGTCAAGACGAGAATTTTTCGCCGCCAAGAAATTCCTCTTGATATAAATAAAGCCACATTCACTAGTGTTTTGTGTCATGTGGCATTATGTTATTGAAATTAGTCCCGTTCTTCAAAAGCAAGTCAACCATACGACCGAATTAGTACTGATAGTCTCGCCGTTATCGTTTTCAAGGAAGTAAGGTCCAATCACCCCTTTGGATTAAAGAGCGCACCAGACAGCCAGTATTTTGGATATAGTGGCGTTCAACACCCAAACGTGATAAATTTTATGTATCCACCGAGAGAGAATTGCGCCTCGTCGCTGAAGAAAATTGTGCTCATGATAACGTCGTTCAGTACTTGTTGTTCAACCGCACAATAGAAGTATGTTAAGAGTCAGTTGGCTTCAATTGTAGTATTAGCTGGACTTTATATGACTGCTCGTATAAGTACAAGTACACAGTCCGCCATTATGTACCATAAGAAAGTTACAGCTCTTGAGAACGTCTAGAAATAAACAGATTCGGGTTTCGGCTACTCTTTCACTAATAGTAGCGATATTTGCTGTACACGAGCACAGCGAAAGTTTGAAAGTTCTATAAAATTTTACTGACTAATTTAGTAATTGGCCTAATATATGCATCACAATCCCCTTTTAAAACCCGAAATGAGGTCACGTTTGAGCCATCATTTGGGATGCAACTTTTAAAGATTGCACCGCGTTGGGCGGATATTGAACGATCCACTTTTTAAATGACCGACTTTTCTCTAAAACAAAACATTCTTGGTTTGACAGTTACGTTTGTTTCCCGAAAATGGACCAAGGATCGTGAAATGGAGGATAAACATTTATTTATTAACAATCCTGAATCCGTTATTCACCTCTCTAAGAGAAACTTACCAGCTCGTGACTACGTCTCGTTCTGAAACGAAGCCATCTTTAGACAACTAATTGCACTCGATGCCCTGGTACCTGGTAAAACCTTAAATAACGCTTGGTTTTCTACGAAAATGGAAGATCTCATCCTATGTAGACCAGTTTTTTTGTTATGCCTATTAGGCTTGGCAGTTGGAAGCAGCAAACTTCAGCATTCACTCCGCTATCCAACTTTGAACTGTAAAAAAATCCAAAGCTTTGTCGGCGAGCTTGAGTAGTTGTACCACTACTTTTGCCTCTATTGTAGCCGCCAGACGTTTCCGAAAGTCAAGTGGGTTGAACTCCAGTGACCATAAGTCCTGATTCCCAGCCAACGAGGCAGGTAGCACCGCCACAGTTAAGAATGCATTTTTTTTGTTATGCGTGGCGGCTGCGATGTCCGAGTAGCTAGCATTGCGTACTGCCTTTCGGAGGGCTCGACTTCAAATCCTGGTGTCGTGCTAACATCCAAACCTTTTGGTTTAAACCATTTTGGAAATCTTTATTTCCTTGTGATTAGAATTAAGTCTGTCTTATCACTACTGACCAAGTTAAGTCCAATTGATTTATCCGCGTGACTTAACCAAATATATCTTTGTGGAAAATAAAATTAAAACAGATTGCCTGCCTTTAGGCATGAGGTGGTTTTGGATATAAATATGTATAATAATAAAATAATAATAATATGTAACAAATATATAATTTTTTTTCGACTAACTACTAAAAATAGTTGTATAATATTTGCTACAAAAACTATTATAATACTAGGATCTTATTTAAAATGAAAAAAAAATAATAATTTTGGAAAGCCTAAGACATTTATTTATACTTACGAAATTTCACCAAATGGAGTAAAGGCTTCCCGTAATTGCTGTGTCTCGATTTCGGAGCTCAAGTCGCCGACGAAAATATGAAATTGTTCTAAAAATAAAAAGGAGAAATAAGAAGTTAGTAAATATACTGTAAAACAGCTTTTATTTAAATTACCATAAAGATGGAGCATGGATAAATTTAAAGTTTTGAATATCAGAATAAAAAAAAAACAAAAAAAAAATATGGAAGAGAAAAGTTTCGACATACTTTTTATATAAATGCAAAGTAATTTGCATAAAACAATCTACAACTGTAAATTGGGGACGACGGAAAGTTGTTAAAGCCGTGGATACAGAGGAAGGGTGGCAATGCGGGATTTAAGACAAGGCTGGCGAATGTATGTACTATATGAATGAACGTACACTGTCCCAACAGCTGTGATCTTACACTCAGACACATATGTATATATCCAACATGTGGGTGTGTCTCGCCGTTTTATAATTTGTTACACACATACATATGCATATTAGTTGCATGTGCACATTGGCGTATAAAAAAGTTATTGAATTAATGTAAATCGCCTTAAAATGGCAACCAATAAATTCTGTTTGCCTTTTTTTTTGGTAACTTCTTCTTTGTTATTTCCATGGCTACAATGTATTAATGTGTTAGCTTTTTGCTCATTCTCATTTTCAGTGTAATTTTTATAGAATATTTTCCTTAGCAACGTAAAAAATGCGCTTTGTAATGAAAGCAAAAAAGAAGAGAAAATAGAAAAAAATGAAAAAGAAAAGTGACTGAGCAGACGTCATAATGAAACATACAAATCTAACAGTGAAGGAGTATAATGAATATGGGGCATTTTTTTATTCTTTGTTTAACTTAACTACTTCGGAAGATGACCAAAAAAACAATAAACAGGGAAAACTTTCAATGGTCATCGCTTTCGACTACTTTCAATTTCATTACTTAAGTTGGAAAAGTACCGTGTTGCTTTTTTATTGAAATTAATTGTTAAAAGACATAATAACATAAATGTGTTTTCATATTTAATATTATGATTTCATTCTATATATTGTTATATAAGAAAATGTGAAGGTTAGCAATTAAGGAAATTAGAAGTATTTGGCAAAAAGGTGATTTTTTAATGCAATAAAATGTTATATATGAAAGTGATAAAAAGTTATTATTTTACAATTCCCTTATTAAATAGTAGTAAAATTCAACATATGCAAATATCCCTCAAAAATTGATAAGAAATCTCGCTTTAAAATTGTATTGTATGTAACAATTTTTTTGCGAAACCAAAGTTTTCAAACTTAATTTATTTATAACATTAAAGCTATTGCGGCATGTATGCAGCTAATGTAATATTATTATAAATATTATTCGTTTTCGCGAATATCTCTGTATCCATTTGCTGGCAAAATATTGCTCATACGACATGTCGCCCTATAAGTAACTACCTGGTAGTTACTACTAAGTTACTAACAGGTTACCTAACACGCAACTTCATGTTCACTTTTGTTTGTCATTGATAATTTTAAAATTTGTATGCATTAAGAACAGACCATATAGTAATAAGAGAAAAACTGGCAATACATTTTTATTAACGAAATTGAACTAACATTTGAGCAAATTTTTTAGAGCTCTTATAAAGACTGGCAGCGATATTTTCATGCAGAGAAGCTCAACTAACGAAACGATGTCATTTCACTATCAAAATGAAATGAGATTGTTAATGTTGAAACCGTACAGTCTCAGTGTTAACGTTATTTTTAAAATGGCTGTCTGTTATGTCATTCGCAGAACACTTCAATGTGCGGTTTAACATTTTCTGTTAACGATTTAACATTAAACGCAGCATTTCGAATCGGGAAAAAATGAAATAAAAGTGATTTTGATAACAGACTTAAATTGTTTAAAACGAATCAGTGAAAGTTTTTTAAGTACCATGAAATTTAATTTATCAGTACAATTCAACTTCATTTCCATATTATTTATGAATGTTATATTTATTATTTTGTACTATCCATTGAGCTGAATACAAAATTGTTCTAATATTCTTGTGAGCTCTACTTTTTTAAAACTAACTTTTTAAGAAATTACAATAAATTACACTTTAATTTTTTTTAACAAATGTGAAGCCTATAATTTATTGTAAGCCCCTATGGAAAGCTCGAAGTTATTTACGATAAACTTTTTGACCTGAAATGCAAATATACTTTGATTCTACTTGCTCAAGCGCGACTGCAGTTAGACACAATTCAATAAATTCTTATTAAACTTATTATCCATAACTTTGTTGGTCTGCCCAGGGTTTGAACCCATGACCCTCCAAACGATAGTCAACACTGAAGGAAGCTAAGAAGCCACTACCTCAAGTTAATATCTTTTGGTATATTGAAATTCAAATGCATTAATTTAGTAGTTACGTTGCTTAGCAGAGAGGAAAATGAGTGTCAATGTGTGTTAAATGCCTATTTTGATAAAAATATTATGTGTACAACGCATATACATACATATATTGTTCTTTTTTCCTTTACAAGGAAAATTACCGGAAACGTTAATTTGTGCACGTGCGTCTGCTATAAAAATTCTTATATATATAACTCGGTGTGCATAAACGTACTCCCATACAACGCTTGCCAATGAGTCGTACCCACTTCCTGTTGCGGGTATGTGGCCAAGTTAATAAACGTACACAAATCTAAAACTACATAAAGGAGTAAGTACAGTAATTTATATACATAGCATAGAGTATATATGAATATTTATGTATGTCAGCATGTGCACACTATAGTTTATGGTTACAGAAGCGTACATGAACTGAACGACTTAATTCCTACTATGACGACGACGACGACGAAGACGACAGTACCGCTGTGAAGGCGTACAATAATGAAAAGGAAATTCATTTAGAAAGGAGACACATATAAAGAGGTATATCCTTTGAACTGTTTTTCCAGCAGCTCACCTTGTAAGTGAATAGTGCTAATTATTTCGGCTAAGGGATTTAATTTTATGTACATCTGAGCAGATATTATAATACTTATAATAAATTCATATGTGCATATATGTGTGTGAATAGAAAAATATTGTACCCAGTAGTAGAACTGAAACAAATTTTCTGGTTTCAATTTATTAGTTAGGGATTTCAGTTTTTTGTTCTTTAAACTACTAATAATGAGATATTTCTATGGAGTAAGCTCGACGTCATTTACTAATTTTTTATTTTTATTTTTTCAATTTTGCATATATAATATATACTTATATATATATAAATTTAATAAATAATAACAGCAACAACTATATTCTATCTATTAGAACCCATAAAATGCCCAAATTTATACAGTACTCTGCTATTACTACATTTTGATTAAAAACTGAGATTCTACATTTATATATGAAGTCAATATTTTAAAGAAAATGCCCGGACTGATACGAATGATGAGAAAATGCGAAAGCTAAAAGAGTCCTATTTTAAGCTTTTGCTCAATTATCTCACATGAACTATAGTCGTTTCTAAGTAGATATACTAGAATCAGCAAGAACTCCTACGCCATTAAAACTATTACAGATTATAGCTGTGCAATGATGATTATCCTATTAAAAATCTCTTAAATATAGAAATGCGTGCACAGGGACCTAATTTCGAATACCGAAAAGCGATCCATAATTATTAAAAAATATTTATATTGAACAAAAAATGTTTAGCTATTTTTCCTATCTGTGGTCGAATATCGCTTCCGCGATAACAAAGAGTCACTTATACAGCGTTTTCCAATATTATTTCGATATTCAATAAAAAATGGTATTTTTTCAATAATAATAAAGAAAAACAATGTTGTATTTGGAAATTTTCAATCACCAAATTGCAAAGTGGCAGCTGTATGAGCGCAATAGCTTCCGGAATTCCATATTTCAGGTCTTATATAGAGGTTTGCCTGTTGGCGTAAATCTTATCTTGTACGTGGCTTCAAAGGCAGAAACCTCAAGGTAATAAATCATAAAGACTCGTTGGCCAATTATGTTCACCTCTTCGAGAGATTGTTGGTTTCGCAGCGTCTTCAAATTAAAGGTTATTCAGATCAATACCAACCAATTGCGGCCATAAAAAATATTTAATTTCCTTTCGATAGCGCTATCCATTCACCATAGCTGCTGTTCCAGTCTTATTTTCGGAAAAGTAAAGTCCAATGACCCCACCGTACCAAAAACCACTCCAAAGAATTACACGTTGATGATGAAGAGCCTTTTCATCAACATATCTTTTATTTTTACAAACTCCACATGCGACAGATTTGCTCATTGACGTAGCCATCATGGTAAGTATAAGCCTCATTAATCAAGATGATTCTTCGATGAAATTCCGCATAATTTCATAATGACCGCATGTTGGTGATCATATGGCTTGAGTCCTTGTAATAACTGAACTTTATTAGCCTTAAGAGCCAAGTATTTATGCAAGATACGGTCCAATAACGTTTGTGGAATGTCCGATTCCAAAAAACGACCATCAATAAACAAATCTTTGTTTTCGTTAACATTTTGAGTTACAGCAGCAATATTATATGTTGTTCTTGAGCAAAGTGCACGTGTTTTATTCTTTAAATCACCAACTTGTCCCAATAGTCCATTTTTTTCAACCAATTTGTGTACTGCGGAACGACAAGGTGTTTTGCGACGACCGAAAAATGTTTTAGTTTTACAAACCGTCTCTACTTTAAGAATGAATTTGAATAACTTCAATGCGTTGTTGAAGCGTCTATCGTTCCATTTTTAATTGTATTTACACGTCAAAGGTCAAAAACTGCAGCTTCAATAGTGGCATATACTGAAATGATAGGGTATTCAAAATGATACCTTTAGAGAGAAATGATATCTAAGAGAATATGTCTTAACCAACTTTGTTGCTTTGCTTTTACTTAAGATGAATGGAATGTACTAGTCATATATAAAGACTCCTTAACTCTGTTTTCCATTTCGATTTAACATCAATTAACAGTTCAATATGTCTGCTATAGAAAAGTGGAAAATATTTTATTCAGGTCATAAAGTGGTCTACATCACAATTGATGGTGTTTCGAAGTATTCCTCTAACTGTT